TGGCAGCTTCATCATGACAACGTGGCGACATCATGTCTCATGCAGTTTCTTGGCAAAACCTCAAATCATCAGATTCCACACGAGTGAAATCACCCAGGTGACTAACCCCCCCTACAGCCCAGACTTAGTGCCCTGCTACTTCTGGCTTTTCCTAAAACTAAAATCACCTTTGAAAGGGAAGAGATTTCAAACCATTGATGAGATTCATGAAATACAAGGGGGCAGCTGATGGTGCTTGGGAGAAATGTGAGGTCCCAAAGTGCCTGCTTTGAAGGGAACTGAGGTGTCATTGTCCTATGTACAATGTTTCTTGTATCTTGTATCTTCTTCAATAAATGTCTCTAATTTTCATGTTTCATGACTGGATACCTTCTGGACAGACCTCATATAATTAATAATTATTGATCCTATACTTAATAATTATTAATATCAATGACTATTGTTTATTTATGTGTTGAGTATATATTTGTTATGTATTATGCTAAGGATTTTATACATCTAAGTACATAGAAGACTCAATGATTTTTAAATTTTTTTTTATTTATTCTTAGGGAAGGGAGAAAACAGGAAGGAAGGAAGGGAGAGAAACACTGATCCATCGTCTCTCTTATGTGCCCAGAGGACCAAACCTGCAACCCAGCCATGTGCCCTGACAAAGAATCGAACCAGCAACCTTTCACCTTGTGGGATGACGCCCAACCCACTGAGTCACACTGGTCAGGGCTCCCAACAACTTTGTTATTTAGGTATTATTACATCAATTTTACAGAGGAGGAAACTGAGGCCTCAGGAAGTTAAGTTTTCTAGGGTAAAGGGAGACTAAATGGTGATGGAAGGAACTGGACTATAAATGGTGAATACACAATACAATATACAGATAATGTATTATACAACTGTATGCCTGAAACTCATTTAATTAACCAATTCCTTCAATCAAAAAAAAAAAGGAAGAAAGAAATTCTACAGTTATCACACAGGTAGCCATTTGGGCAGCCTGGATTCAGTTCTTGATACACCTGACTTCAGAGCCCGTGCTAAGGTGCATGAAGGATTTTTAGGTAGCTTTTTGTCACTGTGGTCAAATGATATGGTCTCTATGAAGCCAATTCTTTGAAGTTTATGGAAACTTTAATTTTACATATTGCATATTGCAATACATATTGCATGTGTTTAAACAATATTTTTCCCAATATTAGTTTCAGGTACACAACCCAGTGATTAGACATTTACATAACTTATGAAGTGATCCCCCTGGTAAGTCCAGTGTGCCCTCAACACTACAACCATCAGTTTTATTATATTCCCTGTGCTGTATCCATGTGTTTTTTATAGGAATGTGCTTTCCATCACTGAATGCAACAACTGATCACTACTTTGGATCAAATTCATTGGTATCATCTTGTCTTTACTGACTTTTGTTGACTCGATTTACCAATTAACAATGAAATGGGTATCTGTGAGGTTTTTTTCTGACACCAAATATGTGGTATCTTTTTCTACATCAACCAACTCCTCAATTCTCTGACACTGTCCAACAATTCAATCCTGGCACAGTTCCTGAGTTGGCGTCAGACCCCACAGGGTTGAGGATTCAGCCCACAAATGGCCCTCATGTCAACACCAGTCCCAATGAGGTGTCCAGGCTACCAATGTTCTGTCTGACTTGGTTACAAATTCAGAGGTTCCCATGACCCCCTCCTCAGATTCAATAATTTACTAGAGAGGCTTACAGAACTCAGAAACATTTTGCTTACTAAGTCACCAGTTTATTATAAAACAGTGTAACTCAGGAACAGCCTCAGGAGAGATATACAGGACCAGGTCTGAGGAAGGGCAAGGACCTCCTTCCCTGCTATCTGAGCCCACCATCCTCCCTGCATCTCCACGTGTCCACCAACCTATCCACCCCCAGGAGGGTGGCAGGGCTCAAACTTTAACCCTCTAATCACATGGTTGGTTTTCCTGGCTTTCCAAAATCACCTCCTTCACATCAGCTCAGGGATGCCTGACAGGGGCTTGTTAGGAGTAACAAGATGCCTTTATGGCTCTTGTCACAGAAAATTCCAAGGCTTTTAGGAGCTCTGTACCAGGAAAAAGGGCAAAAAGCAAATATGTACTTCACTGCAAACCACAATAGCACAGATAAAAATATCCTACTTTGCCTCATTCTTTTTTTATAGTACTGTACATATTTTTAAATTTTATTCTGCAACTACATTTACATTCGATAGTTTCATATTAGTTACAGGTGTCAAGCATAGCAGTTAGACAATCATGTACTTTACAAGTGCTCCCCTGATATTTCCAGTCCCCACCTGGCACCATACATAATTATTGCAATATTATTGACTATATTCCCTGTGTTGCACTTAACAAACCCATGACTATATTGTAACTCCCAATTTGTATTTCTTTTTTTTTAAAGATTTTATTTATTTATTTTTTAGGGGGGGAGAGAGAGAGAGAGAGAGAGAGAGAGAGAGAGAGGGAGAGAGAGAGAGAGAAACATCAATGTGCAGTCGCTAGGGGTTATGGCCTACAACCCAGGAATGTACCCTGGCTGGGAATCGAACCTGGGACACTTTGGTTCGCAGCCCGCGCTCAATCCACTGAGCTACGCCAGCCAGGGCCAATTTGTATTTCTTAATCTTTTTCACCCAGCCCCCAACACCCAGCCCCTGTCAATCATGTCTGTCCTCTGTATCTATTGAGTCTGTTTCTGTTGTTTGTTCCCGTTTAGATTCCACATATAAGTGAAATCATACGGTATTTGTCTTTCTCTTATTTCACCGGAAATAAGAGAAAGGGAAACTAATACCCTCTAGTTTCATCCATGTTATTGCAAATTGTGATTTTTTTTTTTATGGCAGTTTTGCTGGGCTGATAGTTATTTTTCTCTCAGTACGTGGAAGATACTCACTTGCCTTCTTTTGATGAACCAAGTTTGTTCAAAGATTTTTCTTCCTATCTACGTTTAAAATCATCCCCGTCTTTGGGACTCTGCATTTTTGGTAAGACATGAGTAGGGAAAGCTTTTTATTTGTACTGCTGGAGACCTACTGGGCTTCCCAAGCCTAAGAATGACTTCCACTAATTCTGGAGAGCTCAGACACCACTTTGGTGAACACTGTCCCATCCCATGTCTTCTCCTTTCTGTGACACCCGCCATCTCAGATCACACTACATTACAGGCCTTCTCCCTCTGCCCCATCTCTTTACCGCATCCACGTTGCCACCTCTCTATCTTCTTCTGCCATTCTTGGACCATCTCTTCATTGTAGGGTCATTTTTTCAGAGCCAATAGTTTACAATTCTTCAAAAAATATATCCATGGACTTTTTAAAATATTTTATTTCTATAAAGTCTCAATTCTTTTTCAGTCCCTTGCTTCTTACTCATATTAAGTTCCTTATTTTGTATCTTTAAGTATATTAAATATATACTTTTCATGCTATGTGTCTAGTCATTTATACATCTGAAAATTTGTGGATTTGTTTTTCTGAACTTGTTTCTTTGGAAGTTAAATGCGTGTTTCTGGGTTCTTCAATTTATCAGCAATGAAGGTTTATTGGTTCCTTAGCACCTTCTCTATGTAAGGCCTGATTTGGATGCGGGTTTCCACAGGAAGATTCACACCCATACTTCCAGGACCCTACAAACAATACCATCCAGAGCTACTTTTTTTTTTTCCACTATGACCACCTATTTTTCAGAACTTTACACTTTTTATAGAACAAAATAAAGTAGATGTGAAAACAAGAAAAGAGCCTTCTAGGTACCTATACCAGTTCTCATGGATCAGGGTTCATGAAGTTGGAGGCTTGACCCAACTGGCCCTGGATGGCTGGCCCAGAATCACTAGAGGCTGAGCCTTCTGCCAAGTTTCTGTGAAAGCTGGTGTGGTCAGTCTGTGTGGCAGCCTCCTTGTACAAACCACTAAGGTAGGACACAGAGCGCATACTTGGGTCTGAACCAAATACTGTAAGGCCCCTGTTACCTGGAGAACACTGAAGACAGTTACAGGAGTCTCCTGTGCTGAAGAAGAAAAAAAACCCATGGCCAGCCTCGTCTCCCTGTCCTCACAGCTCAGGCTCCTGCCAATGGCTCTGACAGGCCAACAAAGCCACCCAGTGCGAAGCCTGGATGTCTTTAGTGCACAGCACAGATTCCAGCTGTGGGAGCACACCCACCCACAAGGGGCAGCCTGGCCTACAAGACTGGCCTCCAGGTTCCGGTCACTGAGACATGAGGGAACTAGACTCCTGAGCCAAGGCCTCAGCATCTGTGCAAAGACCAGCTGCTTTGCTAAATTTTCACTGAAAGAAACAGATGCAACAAGGGTGCCAGCAGCACAGCCAGGACAGGTGACTGCTCTGGCCATCAGCACAGAGGTCCCGAATCCTTTCTTCACAAGTTGTAGGGACCGTGCCCTTCCTGCCCAGAAGCTGACATGCCCTGATCTCCTTCGCACCCTTTGCAGGTGTGTGTCAGGATGGTCCAGCCCAGCCTGACCACCTGCTCTCAGTATTGGGGCACAGCACTGCCTGAAGAGGGGCCTTGCCCTGGAGGGCTGGCTGGGTCCCCCCTCAGTTCCCTCACCCCCCATCCCCCTCACCTTCATTGCCCCAGTGCCACCGCAGGGCCCCTTCCACTCTGGCGCCACCCCCACCCCATTTCCTCCAGGGTCAACACCAAAACTACACATGGCTGCAAGTTCTTGGCAGGATCCTTTCGATCTGTGGGCACCAGGCTGCCTCCTTCCCCACTTGGCCCTCCTCCTAGGGCAGGCCTGACAGTCTCCTCATACAGGGCCTCAGACCCTAACTCAGAGCCCCCAGAGCTCCAGCCTCTGATCTTGTCAATCCAGTCAACCACAATATTTTATCTGGTGTAAATATTTTACCTCAGCTAGTCAAGGGAGACCTTCTTGACACATCTACTCTGTCCAAAACCAAGTCCCAGTGCCTTCCACCAAAATGAAACCAGAAATCCACACGAGCCTCTCATGGGTCAAACTTTAATTTTCACTCTGGAGCATCTGTCGGTCACCCATAGCTATGTTCACACTGCAGTGGGAGGATGGACTTCAGTGGTTTAAAGGAGGAAACAAGGATCCTCTTACCACGAAGGCAGGGCCACATCAGAAAACAGCAGCAATCCACCAAGCGGAAGCTCCTCTTGGCACGCAGGCTCTAGGAGGAGGAGGGCCTGCCCAGGCCACTTAGTGCAGAGGTGCACTTGGAGAACTGTTTGTAGGGCTTGTGGACAGCACGTGCCACCATCTGCAGACACCACCACGGCACCTGCCACATGATTCCTGCCCTGACACAAGCCCTAAGCCCACATGGGAGGCAATTCCCAGAGCCATCTGCCCCTTGCCATCCCGGTGCTGCAATGCCTCAGTGCCAGGCCAGCCCTGGAGAAGACTGAGCAGTCCGGAGACAGGGGAAGGCCCACAAGGCAAGTCCTCACTCCTGTCCTTGGCTGACAGACAAATGGCCTCCAGACAGACATGGTTTGAAGCCTCGTCTGAGGCCTGCTGGAAGATGGGGCTTGGCTCAGCAAAGGCAGCTGCAGGGGTCACTCCTGCTGCCCCCAAATCAGAGCCACCAGCAGAGGCTGGGTCCTCTGTAAGGAGCATGGTGGGTTGGAGTGGCCTGGCACAGCAGCACAGCTGCCACACCTGCAGCTGCCTAGGAGCCCCACTTATGCTCAGAGACCTTCCCAGGCCCACCTGCAGGGGTGCAAAGGGACAGAGGCACTCTGTGGGAGCGCAGGGACATCTGGGCTACTTAGCAGCTGTGGGCCACCAGTCCGGCGCAGAGGCAGTCAGGGCCACCTGGCCCCCACCTGCAGTTCTGACGTGGAGAAGGCCCTTGACCTTGTCCAAGTGCAGCAGGGCCAGCCCCACATCCCCCTGGCCTGCCCTGTACTTGCCGGCGGCCTGTCCAGACTCAGTGAGCACCACGGTGCCTGGGGTGATAACGCCTGAGGGGAGAGGGCCCACAAGCTGCACCGGGAAGAGGCGCTTGCGGATGATGCCCATGTGGTGGGTGCGGGCTGTCAGCTCCTGGCCAATGTAGCAGCCTTTGGTGAAGCTGACGCCATTCATGAAGGCCAGGTTGGACTCCAAGGGCAGGGCCACTCCTGGGGGCAGGTCATGGACCCCCTCTGGAACACCTGTGGGGGTGGAAAGGGAGAGAGTCAGTAAGGGCTGAGGTGCCCTCAGGAGCCAGGGCTCAGCCGAAAGAGACCAGGCATGCTCCACCCCACTTCTGTAGCACCTCATCCTCTGCCTGCCAACCCCCTTCCCTGTGCCCTGGTGGGCGGCTGTGTGGCTCTCAATCCTAGTCACTAGAGGAGGACTCCTGGCCTGACTACAGCCACACTCTCCACTGGCTCCTCCCACTTCCCCCGTCACCTCTAACTGGTCCCTGCTGGGACCCCCCCAATCTGCACCCCCATACCTTGCTGATACCGGTGTCGGTGATAATCCCAGACATCCCCTAGACGGGCCCTGGGCAGCAGGGCAGGGCCCTCATCCTGGGTGAGGAGCCGCCAGCCCATGCGGACAGTGCGGGGATCACGGGTGAGGATGGTGGCACCCTGGGGCTTGGGCAGCAGCATGGCCCCACTGGCCTCCACCTCGGGGGTGCAGGGCAGCACCGCCCAAACACGCAACTCAGGGTATGGCTCCACTGCAACCTTCCGCCGAATCTTGTGCAGCACCAGGTGCTCCTGGAGCGCACTCACCACCGAACTGTCACACTCCAAGAGGAAAGTGGGCGCTTGGTCAGCCTGCTCCAGGAGCCTACAGGAAGGGACAGTAGCATGTGGTGGAGTGGGGGTCTGCCAGACGTCACAGTGAGGGCTGAGCATGCAGAGCCAGGCCACAGCTCCAATCCTCCCATTCCAATGCACACTGCAGGGCACACTGCCCTCTGCAGGACTCCTCCATGCCCTTCCCCACAGCCTCTGCAGGACTCCTCCATGCCCTTCCCACCTGGGCCATGGGCCTGGAGACCCCAGTGGTGTCTGGCACTCAAGGTAAGGCAGAAAGGTGCCGAAAAACCCACCCTGAAGACAGGAGCTGCCTCCTTCAGCCTCAGAATCCTGGAGAAGCCAGGATCCTAAGGCTGGGATCACATGCAAATTTCCAGAGGGGAGGGGCACTCTGGAGTGGTGAGGCCATGCCCACCCCCCCACCTGCACAAGTCAAGCCTAAGAACCGCCCCAACCCCCACTCCAGGCAGCCCACAAGCGTGCCAATGTCCCAGGCAGTCTGGTGTGCTGACCAGGTACAGCGGTGTAGCACAGGCTTCTTCAGACAGATAAGCACAGAGGCAAGGCCAGTGCTGTGTTAGACCAGGGTGGGGGTGGGGGGTTATGAAGAGATGCTCAAGCACAGCTGGGGTCTCGGTTGTATATGTGGATTGAACAAGGTCCCACAGTGGTGGCAGCTGAGACAAGGGAGTAAGACCTGCTGGGAGCAGGGACAAGAAAGGCCATCATTGGGTACCTGCGCCTTCCCCCAGAGCTCTTCAACTAGTATGCAAGGTCTCAGTGCAAGGCTCGCCCCACACACATGCCCCGTTGTGTCCACACACTCGCCCACAACCAGTGGCCGTGGGCCCACGAAGGACAGAGTAACAGTGTGGGGAGGGTGGGGAAGGGCAGCTGCCATAGCAAGTCAGACTGGTCCCTCACCTTCTAAATGTCCTCACAGAACGTCAAAAACGAGAGCAGCCAGAAGAAACAGAGTTTAGGGGAGCTGATGCAAATAAGCACAGGAAAAGCTCAGCATCATCCTGATGATGCAAACACAAATCAAAAGCAGCAGGGACACCACTGAAAGATTACGGACTGGTTCAGGGACAGACCACTGATACCATCTGGGTGGAGTTGAAGGGTGACATGGGCAGTGACCACTTGCACATTCCTGAAACACCACAATTAGAGACGGAGGAAGAAGAGGCAAGGGGCTGAGGGGCTAAGGGGATGGCAAGGGAAAGGGGGCCTGCAGAGGAAAGAAGGAAGCGTGGGCTGATGTTGGAGCTCTTGAGGTCTTGAGGTCACATGGGTACACATTTGTGGTCAGATCGCAGAGACCTGCACTCGCACATGCTCGAGCACGTGAAACCTGAGGAAACTGATCTTTCCATGGATGGCCTGTGTCCATCCCCTGGACACAGCAGGCAAGATGCTGCCATTCAGGGAACTGGGTTCAGGGCATGGGATCCCCCGTACATTTTTTTGTACCTTCTGTGAATCTATAATTATGCCAAAATAAAGTTTTTTTAAAAGGAGCTGCCTCTGGAGAGGGTAGATCCATGTGGGCAAGAAGGGAAGCAGCAGTCATTCACTTTCTATGACAAGCCTTTTTTTAACCATGTGCAGGTATATTTTTATTTTTAAAATCTTGCGTAGCAGTAGAGACAGCATGACTGGAAACAGGAGTGGAGGACCATCTGAACCCCAACAGCAGCCCAGGCAAAACAGCTCCCAGAGGTTGTCACACAGACAGGAGGGCATCACACCAAAGGCACAGCAGCAGGGCTGGAACAGGAGCACCTCCTCAGCAGCCAGCACATGAGGAAGACCTCCACCAGGAGGATCCAGGCTGAGGAAACACTTATGTGGCAGGAATGAGAAAAGACAAAGACCTTCCAAAGCTACAGCCTTGTCACAAGAAAGGAGAAGACAGGCCACAGACCGGGAGAAAAGATTTTAAAAGTCTCCTCTGACAAAGCACAGTCATCCAAAACACACAAATGCCAGTTAAAATCCAACAATAAGAAACAAACAACCTGCCCTGACTTGTGTGTCTCAGTTGGTTGCACACTGTCCCGCAAACCTAAAGGTCACCAGTTCGATTCCCAGTCAGAGTACATACCGGGTTGCAGGCCAGGTCCCCAGTTGGGGGTGTGCAAAAAGCAACTGATCAATGTTTCTCTCACACATTGATGTGTCTCTCCCCCTGCCTCTCTCCCTTCCCTTCGCTAAAAATAAATAATAAAATCTTTAACAGGGAGGGAGGAAGAAAGGGAAGAAACAACCTGATTAAATAATGGGCCAAGCCCTGGCTGGTGTGACACAGTGGACTGAAAGCTGGCCTGAAAACCAAAGGGTCACTGGAATCAGGGAACATGCCTGGATTTCTAGGCAGGTCCCCAGTAGAGGGTGTGTGAGAGGCAACCACACGTTAATGTTTCTCTCCATCTCTCCCTGCCCCCCTAAAAATAAATAAATAAAATATTTTTTTAAAAATGTTTAAATGGGTCCAAGACCTTAACAGACACCTCAGCAAAGAAGATGTACAGGAACACAAATGAGCCATGAAAGGATGCTCCACATGACATGTCCTCTGGGAAATGCAAATCAAAGTAACGAGCTACCACTACACACATGAGAATGGCCTACACCAGGAACACCGACATCATCAAATATGGGTGACGATGCGGGGCAGCAGGAGCTGGTGGGAATGCAGAATGATGCAGCCATTTTGGAAGACAGTTGGCAGTTTCTCACAAAACCAAACATACTCTTACAAGCAACTGCAGTCCTTGGTATTAAGTCAAAGGAGTTGAGTTAAACTCAAAGGAGTTGAAAACTTATGTCCATAAAAAAACCTGCACATGCATGTTTACAGCTTTATTCGTAATTGCCAAAACTTCAGTAGGTGAATGGATAAATAAACTGTGCTACAGCCATATGACAAAATATTATCCAGCACAAAAAGAAGCCAGCTATCAAGCCATGAAAAGACACATGGAGGAACTGAAATGTGTATTGCCAGGTGGAAGGAACCAACTGGACGTGATCACCTACTGTACAATCCAATCACCTGACATTCTGGAAAAGGCAAAAACTAAGGAGGCAGTAAAAAGATCAGTGGTTGCCAGGGTTTGTGGGGAGGGAAGGGGGGAGGGGAGGGGAGGGGAGGGGAGGGGGGAGGGGAGGAACTGGCAGAGCACAGACAATTTTCAGGGCAGTGAAGCTACTCTGTAGGACACTGCAATGGTGGCTACGTGTCATTATCCGTTTGTCCAAGCCCACAGAATGTACACCACCAGGAGTGAACCCAGCGTAAACTATGGACTCTGGATGATGTGTCCATGGAGGTTCACTGGTTGTAACTAATGCACCGCTCTGGTGGCGAGTGCTGATAGTAGGGATTTCCTACAATGTATGTATGGGAAATCTCTGCACCTTCCCCTCAATTTTGCTGAAACTGCTCTAAAATTGTGAAAGTGAATAAAGAAAAGCCTAGTTAAAATCAGGTTGGAAAGCCCTGAAGGTGGAATGCTCACACACGCTGCTCACTGCCCTTTGCCAACTCCAACAAGAAGAACCTTACTTCTAAAAGAAAGATGTTCTCTCTGCCCAGCAACAACCCAGCAAATGAGAAGCTGCCTACCACCAACCCTGAACTCCCCCTTTCCTCCAACGAATCTCTGCTCAAAACAACCCCTCCTGCCCTGGCTGGTGTAAGATCTGTGGATTGAGTGCAAACCTGTGAACCAAGAAGTCACAGGTTCAATACCCAATCAGGGAATGTGCCTGGGTGCAAGCCAGGTCCCCAGTTTAGGGCATGCAGAAGGCAACTGACTAATGTTTCTCTCCCTCTATTTCTCCCTCACTTTACTTTTCTCTAAAAAATAAAATAAAATCTTTAACATCCCCAGTTGCAATTCCTCTGACATTCCCAGATGAACTCATTTGCTGGTAAAATAACTAGCTATTTTGTTTGTAAGGCTGATATAAGTCTACTTTACAAAGAAAAAGTGCACCCAAGAGAAGGTGCTGCATCCAGGACACAAGAACAGGATGCTCTGAGAAATGACTGAAGGACAGAGAATCAGAAGCGTGAGAGCTGAAATGAAAAATTCCAGAGAGAGGATGCAGAGAAAATGGCAGGCAGGGAGCTAACACAGAGAAAGCAGGAAAGCACACTGGCCTCCAGGGTGGCGATCAGACCCAGCACTGCCCTATTCCCAAAGAGCAAACCCCAGAGAAATCAGATGTAGGTAAACTGCAGAGAGCAACAAGGTGGGGAAGGAACATGTGAATTAACTCCATGAACCAACCAGAAGAGTTAAGCCACAAAAGAAGTGTCAGGCAGGTGAGAAGGAGAGTAGACTCTGCCCCCAATGCCTCACACCACAGAAGAGAACTGGGAGATGAGTCTGGATACCGCCCAGCAACCACCCAGGCCTGGGAGCAGCCATCCAATGGGTGGGGGGCAAGTTGTGTCTTCACCCCTTCCCTCTCCTCACTGCTGAGGAGAAGCAAGGCCACTACCTCTGCAGTGTCTCTGATGGAATAAAGGGCTATCCTACCCCTCCCTACACAGAACTTTTGTGTTGGAATCTCAGAAAGAAAACTAGGTAAGGGGCAACATCACAGTGGCCCCCAATTTCCTTAACACACTGAACAGCAAGTGGCACAATACTCCATTCTCAGGAATTAGCTGAGAGAAAAACCAATTTTTCTGCAGGTCAGATCAGGGCACAAGCAATGTCTGAAAAGAGATGCCAAGTGCATGTGCTGGTACAGGACCTGCTGGCACAGCAGCAAGGCAATGACGTTGCAGAGAAAAAGTGCAAAGAGAGGCAAAACTAAGAAACCACTTTACACTGTAAGGCAACTTATAAGAATAAAAACTCCTTAACAAGAACACAAAGGCAAAAAGATGTAAAGGCAGACTGCAGATGCAGCAAGGAAACTCGGCTATCAAAACACCACCATTACAACACTAATAAATTAAAAGCAGTAATGACCAAAATAGATGCTACTGAAAAATAGTGACAGAGGGCTCAAGGTAATCAAAGAATGCAGGCTGTACGATAAAGAAATTAAATCAACTAGAGGAATGTAATAAGGTGTGTGTGACAAAGACCATGGCATCTGTTTCTTTGGCTTTTTTTTTTTTTTACTTAATTTTTATTGTTATTTTCTTCCATTACTGTTTAGTCCCCTTTATACATACTCTCCCGACCTTGGCATCTGAAACATAGCAGGGATTGCAAATGTTTTCTGTAGAGGGCCAGATAGCAGACAATTTGGGCTTGGGCCACGTGTGTCTAATCACAGATCTGCCCTCGGACCGGATGACACAGCAGCCCCACGCAGTATGCAAACAAGGGGCAAGGCGGCGTCCATTAAAACAGGAAAACAGGCCCACCAAGCTTCTGGCAACACCACAGGAAAGAAAACCCAAAATATCATCAGATGAAGTGCCCCTACGAGCTATCATTGCTCCAAAACAAAAGGGAACGGGGCTTCTCAATAGAAATGCCAGCAAAGAGAGATAAGCCATGGCTTCACAATTCTCAGTGAAACTTTGCACCTGAAGTTTTATTCCAACCAAGCTATCAGGTAATACCACTTGCAGAGCGAGCTATAGTTGAGTCCAAGTCACCTGAAGCATACCCCTCTCAACAAGCCACTAAACACCGAGCTCCTCTTCCTCTACGAGAGTCCAAGGAGAAAGATGTGGACTTCTCCACACGGGAGGAGGCGTGGAAGTTACCAGGGCGTGGCCCAGAGGACAGACCCCGCGTGACTTCCGACCCACGGCCCGGAATTGCACTAGAGGCGGGCCCCGTGACCATCATGTAGGTCATGATGTCGACACAGACTGACGTACAACGCCAAACAGGAATATCACTGGATATAGGGAGATTTGGGAGGGAAATGCAGGGGAAACTCTAGAAATCGGGAAGTCGTGGCCCAAGTTGGTCACGCAGAAGCCGCTCCCTGCAGTCGTCGCTCCTTCGTGCAGAGAAACAGGGCGACCAGGGCAAGACTGAATGGGAGCCAAGGCCAGGTGCAGCGGCGCCCAGTAGCTGCCCCCTCCCCATCCCCGCCGCCACCGCCACGGCCACCGCCACCGCCACCACCACGAAGCGCTTTGCTGGCTCGTACCTGAGTGCTCCTTCCGCCCACCTATAGAAGCCCTGCCCAAGTGCTCCAAGATATCCCCATCCTCAGGTGTCCTCCCCCAGAAGGCCTTCCCCTGGGTACCGCCTCCTTCCAAGACCCCACTCCTCCCTTGGTGCCCCGCTCCCACTGATTCCCCATCTTCCCCATAGGTGCCCCCTCTCCTGGCTTCCCTTCTCCGACAGTCCACTCTCACCCGTAGAGAATGACGTCATACAGCGTTCGTCCCTGGACGCTTAGGAAGTGGGCGTAGCCCGCACGCGCCAGGGAGAAGGCCGCAGGGGCCTCAGTACCCGGAAGCGGCAGGTCATTGGTCAGCAGCCCGAGAAGGAAGGGAGCCGAGTCCGGCCCACGCACGCGTAACAGGGCGCGCTCGCCCAACGGAAAGCAGGTCCAGGCCGCGCCGCTAGCCGTGTCGCTTCCGTGACCGCCTAAGCTGTGGGCCAGGCGGTGCCTTGAGACTGTGCGCAGCCGCCAGGCAGGGCTGCTACACCCCAGCGCCGCGCCCCGGAACAGCGCCGCAGCCGCCATTTTGGGCACTAGTGAGGCGACGGGAAAGAGCGGCCTGGGGGCGGGGGGTTGGGGGGAAGGATGGGGGCGTTGCGCGGACGCGCGCCTTAGCGGCCCCTGGCGGCGGGAGTAACAGCGAGAGGACGTGGGAGGAGCGGTGCCTCCAGCTCGGTCAGCCCCGCGCTCTGCTCGTACCTTGGGCTAGATCGTGTGCCAGGTTTTGGGCGCACCTGCCCTAGCCTGCTAGTGGGTTTTCACAGCAGAGTTTCTGCTTACTTACTGTGGTCTTAGTGCTTGTCAAGTGCACAGTTCAGGGGCTTTATGCGTATCTCACTGTCGTTCAGCCATCCCCACCGTCCAGCACTTTTATCAACTTCCCAAATCATATCCATCAACCTGGAACCCCATCCTCTCCTCGGCTTCTGGCACACACACACCCACTCCATTCTGTGTCTGTGAACCTGACTCCTCTAGGGACTCATGTGAGAGGAATAACGCGGTGTTATCCTCTAGTGATTGCTGATGCCCTGCCAACGATGCCCTCCAGGCTCATCCACGATGTGTCAGTATTTCCTTCCTTTTTTAGGCTGAATAACATCCCCTTACATTTTGTTTATCTGCTCACTCGTTGATGGACATTTGGGTTGCTTCCATCCCTTGGCTTTTGTGAATGTGCTACTATAGACGGTGCGCAGATATCTCTTCAATGCCTGCTTTTGGCATTGTGTAAGGAAACCCACTCCTGTGTGTAGTTTACCCTCATACTCTTTTCACTTACTACACTTCTAATCACCCGGGTTGGGGGTGGGGGCTCACATCAAGCAATCCTGTGACACAGGCCAGGTATCCTACAATTTAAGTCAGTTGTGACCCTGTCTAGCCAGAGATAGCATAGATCCCCCAGGTGAAGGACCTGTGCTTCTGACTAGAGGCTCCCACAACCCTGTCTTCGGGTTCCATAAATTTGCTAGAGTGGCTCACAGAGTGCAGAAAAATATTTACTGGCTAGGTCACTGACTTATTATGATAGGGGACTCAAGACTTGGAAAATTTTAGCTTAAGGTAAAAAGTTAGAAGTCTAGCAAGTAATGTGCATGTTAAGCTTTTGTTTTAGAAACTACAGATAAGGCCCATCCTGGCTCCAGGGAAAAACAGCCAACCTCCTGGGGCACTGATAGAAGATTACCGCCTGGGGACATCCAAACCTTTGTTCCAGGGAGAGCAGACAACCACCCCTCCCCCTTGGGAACAGCTAACTGCCCAGGACAGGAATGTTGCAGCTTCTGAATTGCAAAGCTCTCACCGCACCTTGTTTGTCCTCCCCCAGCCCCTTATACAAGATCTGGCCAGGAAAGAGAAGGGAAGATGGTTTGTTAGGGTTTGAACCCATCATCTTCTTGGATCACCGAACATTTCAATAAAGTTCCCATAAAAGATTCAATCACTGTCATTGCTTATTGGATTTGGTAGTGACAGGCAGCCTGAACACCGGTGTCTTTTCCAGTTACAATTTTAAAGAATATAACTCAGGAACAGCCAGATGGAAGAGATGCACAGGGCCAGGCATGGGAAAAGAACAAGGGGCTTCCCTGCTCTCTGAGCCCACCACTCTCCCTGAACTTCCACCCAGAAGCTCTGCAAACCCCACCCTTTTGGGTGTTAGTGTTAGTGGCGGCTTCATGACACAAGCACAATTGATTAAATCACTGGCCATCGGTGATAGATACAACCTCCAGCCCTTCTCCCCTCTGACGTTGGGAGGTGGGACTGAAAGTTCCAACCCTCTTAAGACTGGTTGGTTTTCCTGGCAACCAGCCCCAAAAGTCACTCCATTAATATAACAAAAGATACCTTTATGGTTCTCATTACAAGAAATTCCAAGGATTTTAAGAGCTCTGTACCAGGAACAGTACAAAACTAAATACATATTTTTATAAATCACAGTATCACAGGTATATACCCAAAATGGAATTGCTGGATCATATGGTAATTCCATGTTTAATTTTTCCAGAAATCACCATACTGTTTTCCTAAGTGTCTCAGTCAAGTCAGGCTGCATAGCAATCACCATGGGCTGGGCAGCTTAAACAACAGATATTCATTCTCTCACAGCCCTGGAGGGACGCTGGACATCCAAGACCAGGGTGCCATCAAGGCAGGTTTTTGATGGGGCCTCTCTCCATAGTGTGCAGACAGCCCTCTCACTCTTGATGGTATTTTTTCTCGTTAGGACACTGGTCCTATGGGATCAGGGCCCCACCCATTGAAACCACCTCATTGAAACTTAATTACTTCCTAAAAGCCCATCTCCAAATATAGTCACGCTGGGGCTCAGGGATTCCACAAGTGGTTATGGGGTACACAATTCAGTCTTTGACACAGTGTTTGAACCTCTCATCCCCAGTTGTTTGCTCCCCTCTCAGGGAAAGTCTGAGAGCCTGTGTGTTGTCCCTTAACCCACTGTCTCCCCAGGAAACTTCAACAAGGAAACTGTAAATGGAAACCAGCCACAAATGCCTGCAACCCCTCCTGTGCTGTATCCATCTGCTTCCTACCCTCCCCCGCCATCTGGCTTGCCTGGGCTCCATCACTCGCTCTGTCACTTCTATCCAAGTCCACTGGTCAGAGCCCTTCAGGCCGCTCTGTGCCCTGTGCTTGCCTATAGTGTGAAGTGAGGGGCAGCCTTGGGGAGCCCTCCACCTCCCTTCAACCTCACCACTTCATCCAGCTACATGATTTCATGATGTCCACAAGCCAATGGCACCAAGTGGTGCCTGCATTGGGAGGCACTTCCTCCCAAATTCCAGACCCTGTGGCCCATTTGGCACTTCCCTGGCATGTTTGATATTCAAACTGTGTGTGTGTAGAAGCCTGACCTCCACATCTCCCTAGACTCCCACCATTCCAGCACTCAGCAGCCCACCCTTGCATCCATGAGGTCCCCACTTGTCACCTGGACTCTCCCCTACAGAGCTCACAGCTCCACACTCCCCTCCAGGCTCATCAGAGTCTACTCTGTCCCATCTCTAGCCTCCCACTCCTGTCCCCTCCCCCAGAAGACCCTCCCCCAAGAGCACACAACTTGTCCCCATCTCAAAATTGGGCCCAGATGCCAACTCCCAACAAAGCTGCTCTAACCATCTATGGATGCATTTTTCTAACTTTCTATTTGAAATATTTAACTTACAGAAATTATGAAAGAGTAATAAAATAAACTGTACCACCTTTCACCCAGTTTGTTAGTGTCGGCAGCTAGATATTAATAAAGAGAGCAAAGGGAACCAGACATTTTTTACACATAATCAACTAGGGAGCTGAACTGGACAATAAGCCTGCTTCGTTAGGAAGCTACAGCTTCACACATTCCCCAGGGGACCACTGCATTCTCTGTCCTCAGGACCTAATCCCCCAAACAGGTAGGAAAGATTATTACAAGTCATCAGCCAGAATTATCAAGGGAAGTATAAAACAGTGGGAGAAATTCCTTTGCTGGGCGCATGCCTAGTAGAAGTCAAGATGGCACAGGGGAGGTCCCTCCAGTTTGAGGCATGCACAGAAGGAACTAAAATGAAGACCACAAGAAGCAGAGCATAGCCATGAAAAAGAATCAAATTGGAGCCTTGGCTGGTGTGGCTCAGTGGATTCAGTGCCACCCTGCAGACCAAAGTGTTGCTGGTTCTATTCCCAGTTAGGGCACATGCTGGGGTTTCAGGTCAGGTCCTCAGTGGGCGGGGGGTGGGGGGGCACAAGAGGTAACCACACCTTGTTGTTTCTCTCCCTCCCTTTCTCCCTGCCTTCCCCTCTCTCTAAAAATAAATAAATAAAATCTTTAAAAAAATCAAATCGGATAAATGATGCAGAACCCCGGAAGATCTAGGAAATGAACTGGTTAGGGAAAGGACACATCAGAAGCCCATGAAGGATTAGGAAGCTGACGGGTTATTTTGAAAGGGTGCCTGGTTCTCCCCAGCCTGATATAATATGATCCAAGCTTAACAAAGCGTGCTCTTGTGCGAGCTCTGTGTCTCTCTCTGGTTTGGTAACATGCACTCTCCCCATTCATTCTGTGTTCTGTCTCCGTAGCAGCCATGTGGTCTAGCAGCTGCACAGAGTCCAAGTGCAGGCTGCAAACGTGAGCCTGGGTATGGCAATGCAACGGAGTGCAGCCAGGAACACAGATTATGCTAACTAGATTAAGCTTTGGCATGGCACAGAACTTTCGGACACTGCCCTTTGTTCTGGACTTAATGAAGACAAGGCTGGACTTTTTCCTCAGCGAGATGGAGCTAAACCTAAGACAGTCTTTTGTGTTTCCTTTGACCCTAATAAATCTTACCACCAAACCTCAACCTCCCATGCATGGGGCCCCAGAAATGCTTTTTTCTTGTAACTTCGTGAAAGGGCTATTTCCACTGGCAACAGATTTGTTAATTGTAAATAGTTTGCCCTGTCTGTTTGTCCGTCTCCTTGCTTGTCCTCTGCTCATGTGCATGCTCCAAACCCTGCAAGTCCTGATTTCGCAGTTGAACCAACTGCATGGTGAAGGGCAGGAGCAGCTGTCCAAAGTCCATTGTTCCCCCAGGCCCACAGTCCTCCACCCAGCCAGCTTCCTGGCTGTGACCAGACAGGCCTGGTATGTGACTCCCCTGGCTGCTGGCTCCTGGCTGCAGAGGTCTTCCTCTGCAGGCTGGGCATTCCAAAGGTGACCCAGCACCTCCCTGCCAGCCCCTGAGGACAACATGGTGGGGGGCACGTTCCTTCAACCTCACGTCAGCCTGTACCCCAGCCAGCAGAGAAACCAGCTTCCCATTGGTCCTGCCACAGGGACAACAGGCAACCTGGAGCCACCTGGAAACTTTCTGACTCTCAATCCAGCCAAGCCCAGCCTGCTTCACCTCCCAGACTGTTTAAATGTAAATCAACTTATAGGATGTCAAATGAACCTTCCTTCTCCTCCCCACATAACAACACGGATGTGCTCAGAGATCCATGTGGCTAGTGGTTGCCTCAGTGGATGGAACAGACAGCACCT